ATAGGGTTTGCCTCCACGTATGTACAGTTGCCAAGACCAGGGATAGACTGGATGACAGCACTGCGAGCAGCCGCCTCAACCAGTGGTAGGACGAGAAGTTTAGGAGTCGAGATGTCATACTGCAGCTGAATAGTGCACGAAGAACCCTGGCTCGGGTTGAACTTGAATTGGGTAATCTCGCCGAATTTGCCCTTGATATCCTCCTCGCGCAACTTGGTGTCTTTGGCTTCATTGTCCGAGTCGTCATCAGAGGCATCATCCATCTCAACATCCCTCGTCTGTTTCTCGTCACTATCCTCAATATCGTCATCGTCGGCAGCATCTTGGTCCTGGACCATCTTTTCCTCTTCACCCTCAGGGCCTTCGTAGGATACTTGGTTCGAACGATTCTTATAACCACTGGCGCGTTTGGCGTCGTCCTGATCCTCCTCGTCATCGTCGTCAGCAGGTGCATCTTCGTCGTCAGCACCCCGAGGAGCTTCTTGGACGGTACCAACAGAGATACCAATCTCCGGCTGGGCAGTTGAGTAGCTCGACAGTTTCTTTTCGTCCTCTCGTCTCTTGAGTTCGGCTCTGGTAAGCTTCACGAGCTTGGGGATGAACTTGTTCTGCAGAGCAATCTGCACATCCTTTGTCTTGATTGCATACTCTGCCGTGTATTCCTCAGGGGGGAAGAATGAGATTTCAATATCATAGACCTTAGCCTTTGTACTGCCAGAAGTGATCCTCTCCCTGATTTCAACCTTATCGACAACCTCTGCAATGCTGAGCTTGCTAATTGCCTTGGCGAACCTTTCGGAGTGCTCTTTGGACAGTTCTTCGTTCAAAATCAAAGTCATAGTGGGAGTCATAATGTGAGCACTAGCCGTCATCACGATTTCACGCAGACGGGGGATACCCAGCGTCACGTTCTTCGCAGAGTGACCAGCCAAGTGGAAAGTGTTCAGGGTCATCTGCGTTGATGGTTCACCGATGGACTGACCAGCCACAATACCGACGGCTTCACCGGGATCAACCACCGACTTCAAGTACTTCATATTCATCATGTTACCGAATGATTTCTTGCTGAGGATACCTTCAATGCTCTTCTTCTTATCCTTCAAAAGCTTGTCCGGATTGGCTTCCTCGTACTGTAAAATATTAGTATATGCTGGACACGAAGAGATTTTTTGTTAGTATAGACAAAAGCTTCTTCTTACCTTCTTAACAGCTTGAGCAAACAGCTCGGATGTACTACCCAGGTTACCTCCGGGGTGGTAAACGGACAACACAGGGTCCATAGCATCCACCTTTCCACTCTTGCGCACCTTCTTCATAGCATCCTTATGCCATTCCCCTACCTCCTCTTTCTCCAGGGTGTGGAAATCGCTCGAATTGACTTGGGAGATAATGGACTTGTAGTTAGATGCCAAGAAGTCGAAATCTTTAAGGTGGACCTGTTTCGTAATATCTAGACCGTCCTCTCCGTATAAGAATTGAACGATGGAACCGTCGGTGGCTTCGCGGACCGAGGTGTCATACTCAGCCCTTAAGCCTTCCATGCCCTTGATCAAACAACGTTGTAGGTAACCGGATCGAGATGTCTTGACAGCGGTATCAATAAGACCTTCACGACCCGCCATGGCGTGGAAGTAATATTCTTGAGGCTTGATACCGGTCAAGAAACGGCCACAAACATAACCACCAGCCATAGGGTTGGTATCAAAGGCTCTGAAAGACGGTAACGTCTTACCGCTGATCATTACAGGTACACGACGACCTTCCAAAACTTGCTGACCCAGGTTGCAAGAAATCAGGTTGGCGTTGACACTAGAACCCTTAGCTCCGGAAATTGTCATCGATTGCATTTGGTTCCACGGGAAAGGCTTGACCAAACCTCCTGGAAGGCAGGCCTTGGTGATCTCGGTGGACAGGTTCGCTGTGCGAGCGTTGGAGACGCTATCAAGACCACTTTGTTTCTCATCATCACGGAGAACATCTTCCAAGCGACGTCGCAATTCGGCGTCCTCATCAGCAGCCTTCGTTTGGTCAAGAGTTACATACTTCAGCGCAACCTGACGACCAATTTCAGGGGCCTTGCTAAGTTTTTCTTTGCGAATACGGTCACCCTCCTTGGTTAAGCGAAGGTCATCGATACCACAGGTAAATGCACGCATGTTCAGGAACCTCGTTAGAAGCCTGCCCAGAATACCGATGAGCCTTCCAGCAATGGTATGTCCATAAATTTCGTGAATCGAATCGATGAGACCACCGGCCGTAGGACCGATCTGCTTCTTATCGAGAATACCACAGAGCAATTCTCCATCCTTGAAGAGGACAGTTCCTTCTTCGTTACCTTCGCCCCATCTATCTCCTGGTGTTGAGGACTTGCTCTTCATGTTGAGACCGGCTCTGTTTGGAGGCATGATATTCTTGAGGATAGTTGTAATGATTTGCTTTCCAGTCCAGAGACGCTTTGGTTTAATCATTGTCGGGGCGACAAGCTGAATACGTTCTGTGATTGTGTGGGAATTCTCTGGTCTCAAACAACTGTAGAGCAATTCATGGTAGTCTTCCTCATCGAAGAAACTATCACGGCATGTAAACCACGTAGACATCGAGATGTGATCTTGGATCAAACCTCTCAGAGGTTTACCGGAAGTGGCAACAAGGTACTGGTGATCTGCATCCGCAAGCATCATGGCTTCAGCACGAGCAAGCTCATTCTGGGGGAAATGCATGTTCATTTCGTCTCCATCGAAATCAGCGTTGTAGGTATTACAGTTAGCATAGTGCATGCGAATGACACGTTCGTTGGCGAGGACACGAGCCTTATGACCCATGATAGACGGCTTATGAAGCGTAGGCTGCCGGTTCATCAAGACAACATCTCCGGTGGTAAGATGACGATACACCTTCTTGTTGCGCGACCCCTTCATACGCCAGTTCGATGGTGCGAGCAGTTGGTTGGCCAAGGCCGTCCGCTCATCGAGACTCTTGAACTTGAGGTTAGTGACTTGTCCAAACTCGTTTTCGATCGCAGCGGCACCTGGGTACTTGTCTGGACCATTGATGACAGCTTGCTTCATTTCCCAAAAGTTGTGATTGGTTACAGGCTCCGGATACGTCAGTTTCTTTGCAAACACAAGCGGAACACCAATTTCGTTGGTTTCGATGTTGGGATCAGGAGAAATGACACTACGGGCAGCGAAGTTCACACGTTTACCCATCATGTTCTTTCTGAACAAACCCTCCTTCTTTTCCAGAATCTGCTTGATACCGTTAGGAGCGCTGGCCGCCGCGGGGCCGGACAACCCACTCCTATCACGATCAATCAGACCGTTGACAGTATCCTGAAGCTGTACAATAGCGTGCAGCAGATCCCTATAGTCGCGCACACGCATGGCAGAGTCGGATCCTCCATTCTGTCTTTCTTTGCTGATTTGATTGATAATGTCACAATTCTTCAAGATTTGCGTGAACACCGTGTTTTGCTGGGCTTCGACAACAGCACCGGCCCCCTGGGAAGCGACAGGTCGATATTTGTTTGGTGGCACCAAGAGGTTTTTGATGAAGAACATGCCTGCGTCAACACGAGACTCTTTCTTTGACATCGGTCGGGATGTATAGACGAGGCTCAGAATCTCCACTTCTTTCACAAACAGCAAAGTAATTGCGGCGTGGACTTCAGGTGAGGGCATGAATTGGCCGCCATCACCAGTCTTCTTGTTATCCACCTGCGCCAAGATGGCATTGCCACGAGCAACTTCTTCCTCCGCTCCGTGAGATTCCGATGTAGTACTGGCGTTGTCGTTTGCAAGGGCCTCCTTCTCTTTGCTATTGAATTTCTTGGTTTCCTGAAGAATGACCAAGGAGTTTGACGCATTGTACCCAGCTTGTTGCATGGCGAGTTTAGCCTTTTCGGGTAAAGCTTTCCGGAAAATCTTCGAATACCGATCTCTTCGATAACCTGGCGAGATTCTTTCTTCGGAGTTAATGCCCCTGTGCTAGCAACAAAACTGGGAAAGTAATCCGAACTCACCCTGAGCAATTGGCACACTTCTTGATACCGACAATATCCTTGAAGAAATCCCTGACCACAGCCCGCCGTTGTTCCGCAGCAATCGGGTTTTTGGCACCAGCCATCAAGCCCTTCAGCTTACCCGTCGCCTGTGCCTCGCGAATAGATTTCTTGACAAACGCATTTCTGCGCTTCACGAGGTCATCCTCGTCTTCGTCCCCATCCTCCTCGGAGACGTCTCCATCATTCGCCGATTTCTTTGAACCCTTCTTGAGTTCCATTGCCTCCAAGACAGCTACCTCGTCGACCAGGCCATACTGCAATAGTCGCAATCTGCAGGTGTAGGCATTGACTTGTGTCCGAGACATCTGAAGGCGGTGGCAGTATACACATTGCGCCCTAAGAAGACGGTACATCTGATCAAAGTGCGTGACATTGTACACATGGACTGGTAGCTCGATATGTCCGGGATGGCCAGCACAAGACCATGAGCTCATGCGACATGTTGTGCAGCTAGGTCTGGTCAGTTGAAGGAGCCAAAAAGAAGGCCGAAGCAAAACACAAGATTGTAGACCACAACAGTGTGCTAGAAAAGGAACTTACACATGGTCACCCCATGCTCCCATAGCCGGGTCATATAGACCACCAGGAACAGGGTTGTTGAAGGAATCCAAAGTCGGAGTATTATGGATTCGCTTCACCGAGGTGGCTTTGATATCCTCGTCATTGTAAACGGTAAAGTCAATCCCCGAAATTGAGGAAGCCACGGGACGTGCGAAGTTCGCCATGATTCCCTGCAGCTCCGTGAGCGACAGAAGAAGCTGGCTATGCGACTACCTGTTGGTCTGGAGGAGCAAAAGCGGGTTCGTTCGGTCTTGTCGCTGCGAAAAGAAAAAGTTCACCCAACTTTTTTTCTGCCGTGCGATACCGCCAAGACCCACGTTTGAGATCGCCCCGTGATTTATGCCCGTGTCACTTCTAAGTAGTATCCGCGCTCTTTTCTCACTTTAGTTCTCGGACTGTCGATACTCATTTGCCAAATCTTTCATACGCCAACTTTGAGTCGTGCTCGGTGCCAGTGGGTGAGTGCAGCATTCATTTTCTGCCTCAAGCAATGGCGGACCTGTCAGGCAACATGCTGAAGCGACCTCACCCCGAGGACGAAGACAATAACACGCAGAAAAGGTCACGTTCCAATAATGGATCCCCATTACCCGGCCAAGGGGCTCCAGCCTCTGGCAAACCCGATATCGAGAGGATGGTAGCTGAGGCGAGAGCTAAAGCCGAAGCTGTACGCGCTAGGCTTCAAGCTGCAAGAGGAGGATCTACGCCATCAGCGGCACCAAGCCCCAGTCCTACACCTCCGGCCGCTTCCCCTGCAATGTCCAGATTAGAGCAGATGAAAGCCAGAGTCGCGGCTGCCACTGGAAGGGCCAATGTGGCAGCTCAGCAACGGCCAGTCGAGCCCTCGCCAACACCTCAGCCTCTCCCATTGGAAGAAGACGATGGCTCCTCGAGGGGTCGGGGTGGTCTGGATGTCGGCCTTCATCCGGCTCTGCTATCGGACACTGTTGAGTTTCGGGGTGCCAAGGGAAGACAGTCCACTCAATCGAAATCCCGTCGAACAGAGTCTCCGCTCACGAATGGGAGGCCGGATCGAGCAGGGCTCGATCTTTCCGGTCCTTCTTTGGAGGAAATCAGAAACAATCCCTATTATGACCCTAGCCTCGGTCCGAAAGCTACGATTGCAAAGCCACGACAGTCGCGGCAACTTATTTTTAATCAGAAGGGTAAATACATACAGCAGGGCGCTGCTCTGCGTCGGCAGGCTCAACTGGAGGCAATGAAGAAACGCATTGCCGAGAGAGCGCGACAGGCCGGTATTGATGAAGACCTAGATGTCGAAAAGGCTTTTCTTGTTCCGGCTCCACCAGCAATTGAATGGTGGGATGAAGGACTAGTGGACGGGGAGGACTATTCTGGCATCGAAGACGAACGGAATCTAAAGATTGATACACCGGACACCATAGTGACTCAATACGTTCAGCATCCAGTTCTTCTCGACCCTCCACAAGATAAACATATGGCAGAGCAAAAACCCATGTATCTCACACCTAAGGAACAAGCTAAGATTCGTCGCCAGCGGCGAATGGCCGATCTGAAGGAGCAACAAGCGAAGATCCGATTGGGACTTGAGCCAGCCCCTCCCCCGAAAGTCAAAAAATCGAACCTCATGCGAGTGCTGGGTGAACAGGCCGTTAAGGACCCTACCGCTGTTGAAGCACGCGTAACGCGAGAAATCGCAGAGCGTCGTACTAAGCATGAGGAAGCCAATGAAGATCGCAAGCTGACCAAAGAAGAGCGACGAGAGAAACTTGCTAGACAACAAGAGAAAGATGCCGAAAAGGGAATTCTCATGTCAGTTTACCGCATTGACAGTCTTGCAAACGGGCGGAATCGCTTCAAAATCAGCAAGAATGCCGAACAGAATGCTCTTACGGGAGTCTGTGTCATGCACCCTAAATTCAACCTTGTGATTGTTGAGGGTGGTTCCCACTCTATCAACAACTACAGGAAGCTTATGCTGAACCGGATAGACTGGACAGAGAACGCAGGACCAAATGCTGTGCGGGAAGGCAACCGGGAGGCTCAAGTGTCTTGGCTAGCTGCTGAAGATGAGCAAACGGGTGATCTGAAAGACCTTAGCTCCAATACATGCAGTCTCTTGTGGGAAGGCCAGGTCAAGACTCGAGCTTTCCGCAAATGGTTGGGGGCACGAGTGTGTGAAACAGATTCTCAAGCGAAGGACGTCTTGGCTCGAGCAAAGCTGGAGAACTTCTGGGCACTGGGAAAGAGCTCAAAGCAGAGCGAGTCGTGGTCATGACGATGGTGTTTATTCTTCTTTATTTACAAATTCTAGTCGAAAGGCAGGACATGTCTATCTCTATGAAACAAATACAACCATGGCCCCTATGTGCCAGGTCTAATAAGCGATTCTTTTTTTCATTTCCCGCATCATTCAAATGATATGCCTCCTGAGTGATGCATACATAAAGACTCCGTAATCAACAAGAGAGATGAACTAATGTGAACTTTTATGCCGATCCAGGATAGATGCCTAACTCCCCGATAATGCAAACATATGTATACCTATGTATCAGTTTTACCCAAATCCAGAAAAGCAAGGAAACCCTAATCATATCAACATGGTAAGAGACACTCATGAGCGAGGTGGTCCTTGATTGTTATTGCTCAGCTGACGCAACAGGTCTAATTGCGCCTTAACCTGGTCAAAGTTCATGGTTGCGGCTTGCGCCGGTTGTTGCCCAGGGGCTTGCTGTTGCTGATACTGCTGCTGCTGTTGCAAAGCGGCCAAGAACAATGGGTTGATTTGCATGTTGGGTGGGAATTGGTAAGGGTTTTGTTGGGGATACGCCTGCTGGAATGGCATCTGAAAATTGAAGCCAGGAGGTACAGCACCTTGACCTAACTGTTGCTGTGGTTGATGTTGAGGTTGTTGTTGTTGTTGCTGCTGCGGGAAAGACGGGTACGCAGGGTATGGCTGTGGCATTCCATAAGCATTAGGTTGAGTTTGCTGGTACGCTTGTTGAGTGTAGTTGGAAGCTTGGGGCTGCGCGTCCGATCCTTGCTGTTGATATGGCTGGCGGTCATAATGTTGAGTATCTCTCGGTCCGCCCCCACGACCACGGCCACCTCGGCCGCGATCAAAGCCCCGGCCCCGACCTCTACCACCGCGGAAACCACCTCTACCAGTAGGACCGTCGTTTTCGACAGGTGCCTCTTGCCGACCCATCATCTCATGGAAGTTCTTCGGGCGAGCAAGAGGAGTGTATCCATCTTCACCAGCGTTATCATCGTAGTTTAGTTCGGTTTGGCTGAGCTTCGACGGACCTGGGGGGCCCTTCTTAGCCTTTGCTGGACCATCCCTGGCTTCCTTTCTTTCTTGCCGCTTCTGTTTCAACTTCCGCTTGTACTCGGCCTCTGCTTCATCATCGGAAAACTCCACCTCATCTTCACCAATTTCCTCGTCGTGGAAATTCGAAGCATCACTACCTTTCATTCCCTTGAGAGGCTGAGTAAACACAAACGTCGAATGTTGCTCAACGTAGTAAACGTTCTTTCCTTTACAAAGACCACGTTCCTCGACAGCCGCGGCAGTAGGGAAACGGATAGTATACAATGGGTTCTCAACTCTTCCCAATGTCTCAGCAACCACACCAACGAGACTTCTGTCTTCAAGGCAGAGTAATGAGCTCGATTCCAGCACCTGGTACTCTCCAGAAGTATTCGCCGCGATCAGGACCGTGTTCTCGACAATTGCCTCCACATGTCCCAGGAGCACAATCTTCATCTCGGGAGTCACAGTGACCTCCGGGATAGGGGGCGCTTCTTCTGGAAGTTCATTTGCCGTTCTGATATGACCACCCGACTTGCCCTTCCCCTCTCCTTCATCATCGGAACCGAGTTCTGCCTGCATCAAGATACGCGCTTGTTCTTCGGGGCTAAGAATTGGGTAGTCTTCGTCATCCTCGTCACTGTCATCTGAGGAGTCGCTAGAAGAATCATCAGAGGATGACTCGTAAGGGGAAGAATCAATCTCCCATTCAGGATGCTCCTCGTCCTCCTCGTCCCGTTCGGCTTGATCATGTTCCATAGCGTCTGGGGGAGGCACAGTTCCTGTCCCGCTTGCATCACCATTGGTCCTGTTGTCGTCTGTCTGAACGTGATTCGCCGCTTCGACTTGGTTACGCGGTTCAGAATTTTGTTCACCCTCAACGTTTCTTACGCTCTCCACTGTAGGCTCTTGTTTCTTAGGCTCCGTTTCCTCAACATCCATGTCATTTTGTGTATCCGTATGTGCACCTTCCTGGGTAGTGGGGTTAGGCGACGGGCTTGGATCGCTCTGCACCGGCTGCAGATCCTTGAGACTATCATTGACGAGGTTTAACCCGGGGATCACCGTCGAAGGATGAGATGTCGTGGCTGGTTCATTGGTTTGACCCTGAATAGCTACCCCCGAGTTCTCGCTCGGTTCTGCAGGCGTGCGCACAACCCATGGTGTGTTATAGAAATCACTTCCATCGTCCGCAGGTGTTAATGCAATGGGTGGCGTATCATTCATACAAGTCCGTTTCACAGGGGGCCCCTCGTTCGCATCCTCTAGGGAATGCTGGGGTTGAACAGGCGGCTGTTGATCACTCATTATGTGTCTCTGTAACCTTGAGAAAGATGTATCTCAAAGGCGAGAGAAGAAGTGATAATAATAAATAATAACAATAAATTAGTGGTATAAAGGAATGATTGCAGGCAAAATCTAATGCGGAAACTTTTTTTTTTGGGAAGTGCCATAAGTGCCGTTGCGGTTACCGGAGAAGCTTTCTTATCGATAACGTGTTTTGTTACATTAAGCTTCAACGATGCTTTAAACTCTCCATGTTAATTAAATCTCCCTAAACAAATGTCAGCAAAATGGCATCTGCCAGGAAAACAATTGAGGTCCCCTCAATGCCAACAGGGCAGGCACCGCGGTCCAAGAAACGGTATCATAACCAGAGTTCCTTTCCTTATTAATCGAACTAACACTCGCGACCTTCGCAGGCCCCCACCGCCACCCTATTACCTTCCACTGAATATAACGCTCTATGTGTTCCTCATCTCCAATGCAATTGCGGCTTTCCTTGCGCCCATTCAGGACTGTGACGAAGTCTTCAACTTTTGGGAACCTACACATTATCTTGATCATGGATACGGACTTCAGACGTGGGAGTACTCGCCGGTGTATTCAATCCGGAGCTGGCTCTATGTTACCATTCATGCCATTGTCGGGAAAACGGCCTCCCTTGCTCTGGTTACGAAAAGCTCTCAGTTCTATGCGATCCGCTTTTTTCTGGCCCTCATCTGTGCTGCCTGTCAGACCCGTCTATATGCGGCAATCTGTCGCACACTAAGCCCCAAGATTGGCCTGTTCTTTCTTATGATCATTGCGTTCAGTCCGGGCATGTTTCACGCCTCCGCATCATTCCTCCCCTCCAGCTTTACTATGTACATGTCCATGCTCGGCCTCACAGCCTTCTTGGATTGGCGACGTCAGAAGATTGCGCAAGGAATTATGTGGTTTGGCCTCGGTGCGATTGTCGGCTGGCCTTTTGCCGGTGCTTTGATCGTTCCACTTCTGCTCACAGAGGTTCTGGTCGGCTTTATCTCGGGATCCCTGGGGACGGTCGTCTCTGGTATCTTTAACGGGTCCATCAGATGTCTGGCAATCCTGGTATGCAACTACGGACTGACAGTCTATGATTTCCGTCTTGTGCTAATGAGATGCAGGCTGCGGAAATTGCTGTGGACTACGCTTTCCTCCGAAAGTTTGCTGTTGTGCCTTGGAATATCGTCGCCTACAACATCTTTGGAGGAGAGGGTAAGGGTCCAGACATCTTCGGTACAGAGCCTTGGACATTCTACATAAGGAACTTATTATTGAATTTCAACATCTGGTTCATACTTGCGATGTCTGCGGCACCTTTACTACTTCTCCAGGCCATATTCCGACCCCAAGCGACCAAGAAGGAGATTCCGCTACGAACCTTGGCTGTTATCGCGCCATTTTATCTGTGGTTTGCGATCTTTACCGCTCAGCCTCACAAAGAAGAAAGGTTCATGTATCCGGCGTACCCTTTTCTTGCTCTCAATGCGGCGATCGCAATCCATATAATCCTATCCTACGTTGGGTCTAAAGGCTCTAAAGGGTCCAGTGGAACCTTGTTAGCTCAAGCCAAGCTTACCATCGTGACGGCCATTGTTCTTGCCGCTATCAATGCTGGCTTGCTGCGGACTGTCGGTATGATTACCGCCTATAACGCCCCTCTAAAGGTGTTCGAACCGCTGGAGCGGCTGGACATTCCCCACGCGGGCGACTCGGTATGCTTTGGTAAAGAGTGGTACCGATTTCCGTCTTCGTTCTTCCTCCCTGATGGCATGCGGGCCAAGTTTATCCGCAGCGAATTCCGGGGGTTGCTCCCTGGGGAGTTCCCCGATGCCACGGATTATCCTGCTCTTTTCGACGGTACATCGCAGATCCCCGAAGGCATGAACGACTTGAACCAGGAGGACGCAGGAAAATACGTAAGTGTATAACAAGACGATTCTTCCTTCTTCATCAGCTAATCCCGCACATAGGTGGACATCTCCCAATGCTCATTCCTAGTCGACTCGTACTTCCCAAGCCATGATGCAACCGAGCTTGAACCCGACTATATCCATGACGAGTCACAGTGGGAGGTGATGTCGTGCAAGCACTTCCTCGATGCTTCGCAAACGGGCCTTATAGGCCGACTGATCTGGGTTCCTGATCTGCCGGGGCTTCCGGATCAATTCCAGCGTAAATGGGGGCAATATTGCCTCCTCCGGCGACGTGATGTCAGCGCCGAGACGGATTAAAAGGTCACATGTACTACCAAGCGGACTATCCCACCAATGTAAATAGCCCTCGAATGCTATCTCTAGATATTGCCTTCATTCGTATCCGAGATGCGAGGCCGCAGACGCGACAACGTAGGGCGGCAGTGCGACTTTACCTGAACGAGACAAAAGATCCCCCGGAGCTGCAAAGATAAGCATCTTCTTCCCCGCAAACTTTAGATGTCGATCGCATCCGATTAACAGAAAGGGCAGTTGACTATCTGATCCCTTGCCCCCACAGACATGATAACGCTCTCTGCAGCATGAGGTATCCATCCGTATGCTGTCCTACATCCTACATCTTGGATCATGGCGTTTTAAATCAACCCCCCCTTCCCCTTCATCCCATAACCCTAGTTGTAGCATTCTCCCAACAACAAATCTATATTTATACACCTATAGAAACCATCTCCTCTCATGATACCAACAATAACATAAACAGCATCACTATAGAAGAGAAGATAACATGACATTCACCATCCTCCCAGGTACAATCACCCAACACCACCTCTCCAACGTCACCGCCATTTGCCTCCTGGCAACCCTAACCACCTATCTCCTCCATTCCCTCTGGAGGAAACACCACATCTCAAAATCCCCCGAGAGCGACCTAGAACAAAAGTCCCTGTCCCCCGCGTCAAAGTTCAAACAGCCCACCCGCAAACCGGGAGAATGGACCCCCTCCGACTTCAAACGACCCCCTGCTGCCCCATATCCAGACTGGGATGTGCATACCACCGAGCCGAAGCCCTACCGACCTTTCAGATACGGGCCGTAAGTTCATATCACACTTCTATATCCGCAGACAAAGTAAAGGCGGTAAAATGCTAACAGAGCGAATCCACAGTAAATACTTCATCACCATGGGCCTGCGAAGCATGAAATGGGACGAATGGATCGAGCTCGACAACCACTACCCACGCTATCACGCCGACAAAGCACGTCGGATTAAAGAACGAGGAGCGAAATGTTCCAAAACAGCTCCTGAAGCCATGGACGCTGCCATGGAGTTACTGGAGGAATTGTACGTCACCATCCTCGTCTCTATATACATACCTCTTCCCCATATACCCACTGACTCATCCACACAAACTACATACCAACTAACCCCAAACCCCAACACAGATCAACCTACCTCCCCGAACGCTACCCAACCCTCTTCCGCAAAACCCCAACAGGAATAACCAACCTCCTCACCCAAGAAACCCTAACCACCGTGCCTCCCCTCCCAGAAGACCCCATGCAAACCTGCGGCCGTCTCATCCAAGACGACCTAGCCCTAATGATCGAGCGCCCCGACGGCGAATACTACCTCCTGGCCGGCTCCATCCTCCTCGCCGGCTTCTGGCGCCTAGAAGACAAATACGGGATGCGTTTATCAGAAATCCACACATCAGGTTCCGTGCCCGGCTACAAAGAAAAGCTAGAGAAGGGCATGATGAACTTCTTCCGCCGGCTGAGGCCCGAGGACCCCGTGCTTCGGAATAACTACTTCATCCAAGTGGATGAGAGTCTACCCTGGTCGCATAGTATCGGGTCTGAGGATAGTGAGACGGTGTCGTGGAATACGGCGGAGAAGAACCGGGCGATTGAGCATCACTTTTTCCGCTCGGAGAGGCAAAGTTTGAGGAGACTGCCGAGGTCCGGGGCTGTGGTGTTTACTATTCGGACTTATTTTGAGCCTATTACGGAGGTGGTTAAGGAGCCGTATGTGCCTGGTCGGTTGGCTTCGGCGATTAGGAGTTGGGGCGAGGATGTGGCGCGGTATAAGGGGAGGGAGAAGTATGGGGAGGTTTTGTTGGAGTATTTGGATCGCATGCATGAGGTGCAGGTCGCGCAGGGGTTGGAGGTAGACAAGGAGGAGGAGGTTCGGAGTTATCCGTTTTGATTATATTCTTTGGGTTTGGGTGTTCTTGTGTTTTGTTTTTAGGTTTTTATAATGTTATGAGATATGATGACTTGATCAATGTCTTTCTCCTTTTTCTTTTTTTTTTTGGTAGCTGAGTGGTGTATCTTTATGAGATTGTAACGGGTATGTTCTCTATGGTCGTATCATCTTTTGACTCAGTGACTTGCCCCAAGTCTGTTCACGTCCAACAGGATGTCTAATCTCAGACACATTAGTAGAAGGAATGAAACCTTCTGTATATACCGAATGCTGGAGGCAGATGATCCTCCCAAACGCCAACCAATGCCCTAATCCTATACAAAACCCAGATCTAGAATAATTAGACAGCCAGCGAAGATGATCTTCTTCTTCTACGCTTTGCAAAAGCCCATTCGCGCTCTTGACGCCAGGAACACTCGTCGCGGAACTCACAGATCCGGCACTTCCACGCATCCATGACTTCGACACCCCGCGGGTTACGCTCGCCGCGCCACCATTCCATCTGGTCAGATAGATAAGCCGTCAGAGTCGTGGGGTCGAAGAGGAAAGAGCGGCTACCCAGCACTCGGGACTGTGCTTCGGTTGTTGGGGCTGATGATAGGTATCGGGCGGTAAGAACAGGCGATAACACAGTCGGATAAGACTCGAGTAAGCCCGGTTGAAACTCAGAAGGAATTGAGGGTGCCACTGACACTGGTGTCGAATGCGTGGGTGGGAGGAAGGTGAGCTGAAGTTGGTCTTTCATCAGCTTCCAGAGGCTAGTCAGGTTGTTGTGCGCGAGAAGAATACTGGTCGAGTCCTGGCTGCCAGAGGGTGCAGAGTCTTCACCGTACGATGTGCGTCGTCCAGCCGCATCTTCCGGGGTGAAATCAGACTCTTGCGAGGAGAATGTATCGAAAAATTGGTCGTTGAGACCGCCTACTTCGGCTATGAAGGCGTCCGTGAATGTGCGAGTGGGGTCCAGGCCATAGCGCGAGGCAAGTAGTTCGATGGACACATCATCACTAGTAGCAAGCCGATTAAGCATATGATAGTACATCTGAAGTTGAAGCAGGGTTGGCCGGAACGACGAGCTCTTCACTGTGGGGACAGAGGCACTAGCTCTGGTCTTGACGTCGGTCATATATATTCGAGGCAAATTGAAAGCCTCTGAAGAAGACTGACTGCCGATTCCGGAGTCATCTAAGCTGTCTTCTTGCTCACCATTCCAGGAAAGGTCAGAGAGCCGTTTGCCACCTTGCGACGGCGACAACAAGTAATCCGAAAGCGACATTTGATACTCGGGCAGCACAGCCCTCGATGCCTCCACGTCGGCATAATACGACGCGGCCGTCGCCTCAAGATCCGGGTCTGGACACTCGTAAGAAAGCTGATCAATGACCCCATTCACCAACTCGCCATCCACCAGCCCCCATACCTCCAGCTCTCGAGTGATACCATATTCCCTCAACGTCCGCAGCCCTTGTATGATATTCCATATCCTCAACGCCAGCGCATCTTCTTTGGTCGAAATTTCTACCGAAACTGTCGTATAAATCTCGTCCTCTAGTGTCTTATGTATCGTACTCCCCTGCTTCATCGCCGGAGTTCTCCTCTTCCTCCCAAACTTAGTCAACGTATACCAATACTGCAACTCACACCACGCGGGCGAAATCAAATCCGTGACCGAAAATGCTTTATTGGGTGGTCTCCGAAACCTCTCGATCGGCGACCGATTATCCGCAGCAGTATCCGTAGCACCAGTAGTCCATTCTCTCTCGCGAGCTACATCCCTCTCGCGCTCCTTCATCCGGCCCTCAGTAGAATTCGGATGCTCAACTAAACGCTTCGTCAGACCGTCAGCGCCCCCCCAACAAACATAAAAACACCAAAGTCAGGAAGGAAGAAAGGAAACGGGGTTAATACCAAACGCGGCGCCACCATTGCTCGCCATCTGACCTGCGCTCCCCGCGACGGGATTCTGCCAAGTCCTTGAAACTTGCCATACGGGCTTTTGCCTCCCCAGTACCTTGGGCGTCCGAGGACTCGATGGGGCAACATGACAATTTTCAATGTCGCCCACTGCGCCGTTTATTTCCTTCGCGGCTGGAGTGGTCGTCGATGGTTGGGGCGACGGCGGCGGTGGTGTCGCGTGAAGAGGAGTCGCGTGTTCCTTGACGGCTTGGGCGAGTAGTTCGTTCAAGACTTCCTCTTCATCCGGTGTGAAGTCGGATCCGTAGTCGCTACTATTGTCGGAGATTGTATCTTTCATTAAATTTTGGGAGGACAGTGGGCAGGACATGCCTGCGATCCTGTCGGGAAGTTCATGTCATTGTGATGTGGAAAGTGGCGAGGCCACTGGTGATTTAAGGTATTTATCGGTTATGATATCTCAGCTCCAGACACTGCAAACGCGTTCTTTTAGGAAATACGGTGTCTGGGTACGCATAAGTAGAATAACAAGTATGAAGGACCGCGGTGTGTCTATAAATCACTGTTTCTCATAATCTATCAAGGGCGCTGTAAACACACGCTATCTATAATCCATCCAAACCCACCCAATGCCACCGTATCTATAAATCTATATACAACAAGGAGAAAAACCAAAAGGGTATAAGAAAAAAAAAAAAGGACATCCGACCAAGATAGAACTATGCCTTCAGCGTTGCAGGGGCGCCGATACCAATCTGCGAAGCCGCTGCCTCAGCCAACTCGTTGGCCTCGACTTCTCGCGCTGCCTTCTGGTTCAACCAGCTGAGATACGTCTGCCATCCAACCGCAATAACCCCAGAGAATATATTCCGGAACTGAGGTGGCACGTACATGAAGCTGAAGGCGGTGACTGCAGGCCACAACTTCGCGCTGTTGGTGATACTGACCGGAAGCGCCTTCTTCAGACGCTCCCAGGTCTCCTCGAAAGTCGCGCCCGAAAGCAGTGAGTGGACACTGAAGAAATAGGTGTTGAAGACGGGTGTGAAAACGGCCTGTTGGACGCAGACCTTGGTAAGGATCGAGAGGAACTTGGATGCGAAATTGAAGTGGTGGTGAAGGAACATGAACCTATTGTACCTCCATTAGCAGATTGTCCTATTATGCCTAGGCTAAAGACCGGGGACAACGTGCCAGTTATACGACGGGATACTTGATCCTGCGCCCACTGTCAAGTGCCGCAAAGTCCTCCACGGGTCATATCCTCCTCCGGATGTCGCAGAGTCATTGTCTTCACTCTCTGTCTTTGACGACGACTCAGAATTCCCTCGAGCGGTCTCCTTGGCCGACTTGCTATCCGACGGAAACAATACTTGTGCGCTCAAATCACCGCATAGGTATACGACAATCGAGCTCCAGAATTGCGTCGCATATGGCCTTCTTTCCTGGATCCGCGAGTATGACCGTCCGAGCTTGCCCAGAGGTCCCTCCACAATAACGTCACGCAGCGATCGAGATCTGGCACCGGCGGGGACTGTACGCGGGGTGGCGGAGGAACAGGAGGATTGCGTCGATGAAGGGGGTGCGGCTTTGGATTGAGCGTTCTGGGGGGATACGTTTTTCTCAGGACCGTTCGGTGCTGAGCTGGTAGATCGATTTCCTTGAGGCCGTCTGCGAGAAGGTAGATGGCACCGCGAAGATAGCGTTGGCCGTTTGCCAAGCTGGGTGACAAGTGTATGTCTCATATTTTTAGTTGTGCTGTAGTATAGAAATCTCGCATATGGAAGGCGATCAACCGATGACCGTAACAAGCCTATTGAGAATAATCCCAAATAACCTGTCGAAGCCCAGGAGCCGCACAAGAACAGCAACACGGTCAGCAGAAAATCAGGCACATCATGTTGAGTCAAAATTGAATCAGCGCAGGAGATTTATTCCGCAATCAGCGCTGTCGGCACTGCTTCTCTGCCGAGGGTCGGGGGAAGGCGAAGGCAAGCCTTTCCGATCGGAGACAAAACTCTATTGGTTCTTAAGTCCGAAATTTAAATAAGAACGAAGGCCGAATCATTCACGATGCAATCAATGGTCAAGTATAGGTACTAACTAGTAATGTATTCTCTCTCGCACGTTACATACATACGCCAGATCAGATCCCAACACTCCACGATCTATTATGCAAGCAAACAGGAGAATATGCAATGACACGCCGGGTATATCAACATCAAACAGTCGTCTAAATAATAAAAGTAGAGCCCTGGAAAAGGGGCTCAATGCATGGACACAAAACTTTTTTCTCTTCCATCACACACATCTCACATCAACACATCGAGTGCTATCAACAAACGGGTATAAGGATAAATAGGGTAATAGATACTAAAAATTATCGAGATAGTCGGTATCGGTATATTTAGAATGTCGGGAAAGTGAAGAACTCGAAGGATGGCTGCGCAATAATCCTTCTGTAGGGACTACACGAGTCAAATTCATTTGAAGGACTCGCGAGTGTGAACACGGTCGATATCGTACGGGTTCCCGTCATAGATCGACTGACGCGCAGAACCAGCGGTTCGAACCGATGACTTGGTGCGAATTTGTTGCACCGGCGGCAGCTCGCCAACATGCGAATCACTTTCATCATCGCTACTATCGGAAACTTCGACACCAGGTGCTTCCGTGCGGTCATAGGCCAGTTCTTGTTCCTTGTCTTCAGGCTCACCCTGCTGTTGCTTCATCTGCTGTGCCATTTTGCGCATAAAGGCATCGGATTCAGCTGCGTACTTGCAGCGCAGGCGGATCTTCGGGCCGTAAATATAGAATAGGAACGGGAACGGTACGCATACAAGCGCCAGGAAGGCAGGAATGGTGGAAGCCCAATGAATGCCAAGGTCGCTGTACATATATGTCGTGAAAAGCGGGAAGACAGCACCGAAGACTGATCGCAGAACCGAGTTGGCTGCCAGAACCGACGCAGCAAAGATAGTATATGTGTCAATGAGGTAGGTCAGGATGCTCAAAAACACCAGGACCATGCCAAAACCGAAGGGGGCTCCTGCCGCGACGCAGGCCATCCAGTGGATAGATGGGTAGTTGGTCCACGCAAACCAGAAGAGACCGATGGGAATAGCGAGAGAAGCAACCATGCATGGTGGGAGACGTGCTTCGGGGGGAGCGAACCCGTCGTGTTTTTCATCAGTCTTGACGTACCGCTTGTTGTCGATAATGCTGTAGGCCACAGCAGCCAGCATTCCGATCATAATACCAAGGAATGGAAGACTGCCCACACCCTGGTTCCAACCACGGACCATCTGGAACACAATTGGGTAGGCGGCAAAGAGCATATACAAGGTGCCATACACAATAGCCATGTACAGAGAGAGCAAGAACACAATAGGCTCCCGGAAGAGCAGGATCCAGGGACGCGACAATGCGGTGCCGAACGCTTGCTTGAGACTAACCTTGCCCTGGTCGATGTCCAATTTGCTGAGATAGACCTTACCGGTAATCTTGGACAGTCTCTCGGCACGGCGACGAAGAAGAACTGGTGCATACGTTTCGGGTGTGAGCAGGGAGGCCACGATCCAAACGAAGCCAGAAAAGGCTCCCAAGAAACCCATCACCCATCTCCACCCGGCATTCATCCCCAGGAAACCTCCGATGATAGGGCCGAGAACGGGGCCTATATGAAAGGAAAGTCAGTCCAATGATGTTCCAGAATAAGAAGCAACAAAAGAAAGAGGAACCCACCCAGAAACGGGGCAGCCGCAAAAAGACTCGTCGCAACACCTCTCTCTTTAGCAGAGAACATGTCGGCAATGACACCTCCCGCATTGGTAAGAGGGGAGGAGCCAAACGATCCGGCGAAAAATCGAAGAATGATCAGCGTCTGGATGTTCTGGGAGCCAGCACTTCCACAGTTGAAGGCGGTTAAAGCGAGGTAAGTGATAAAGAAAATGATCTGACGACCGAACATTTCACTCAGAGGAGCCCAGAGCAGAGGTCCTATTCCTGTCAGTTGAAGAAGAGATTCACGAAGGGGCAAAAGGCATACCAATGGCGAAACCAAGAACGAAAAGTGAAACACCCAGAGTAGAAACTTCGGTGCCGACGTGAAACTGTTGTCTGATCTGAGCAACACCACCGGTATAGGCTGATGAAACTAGCGCAACGGCCAGGGTCGAAATGGCAGCAAGCATAGTGATGAACCATTTCGTGCTACTGGCGAACTGCATAGGGTTCCGTGGATCATTGGGGAGCCAGGTGACAGCATATGGATCCTCTTCTGTTCCTGAACCTGGATACGGATGATCGATGACTTCCTGGGTCACGGCGCCCTGATCCATGACCATGCGCCAATATGGGATTTTCCGGCTCATGGGCGACTCGCCGGGAGCCCCCTTCTCGTTCGACATGGCGAAAAAGCTGTGTTTCGTATCACAAAGGGGACGGTGAAACAATGGCGTTCTAAGGATAAGAGACGGCGTCGTGCGGCTTGAGCAGGAAGACGGACAAAGAGCGGCTGCGGCTGAAGTGTCTCGCGTATTAATAGAGCAAACAAGCGCTGTTGTTATCAGATATGATCCCTGTCAACTTGGAAGGATACTGCAATGGCCGAATGCGGCAAGTGTATAGACGGTATTGAAATTCAAGGTGTGGACAACCAAGAATGTCGATCAGGAAAATTAGAAATAAAAACCAAAATTAAATCTATTAGAATGTTAAAGAATGATACCACATAAATCTAGGGCCGGAAAAAGTAGGACTCAAAAGGGACGTTACAGATCTATATATACATCTGGGCCCAAAGAAATTTTTTTTTCTTTGATTTAGTGACAGCGTCACTTTGTAGTAATTTACCTCGGATCTAAGCCGGTCTCAGGTCCTCAGGTACGAAACGAAGCTGGAATTAAAGGGAATGGGGCAAAATGCACCCGAGATCTGGGCATTATTCGTTGTTATGCAACGCATAGACTGGTCGGCCTTGAGCGGAGTGGATCCCAAGACCCATTCGTTAAAGCTCTGGATCCATGGGCTAACCGTATGCCTCGTGGCTTAGGGAAATTATCCTGGAAAGTTTTTTGATTAGTCGAGTTTATTCTTCGGGTGTATGACTCTTTCAGAGTGCGCCTCCGTAGGGCAATTTTTCTTTTTTTTTGATTACAGATCCATGTACCATGTATGAGTTGTGAATGATCATAAATTTGTTCATAATACATCGTTAGTGACGTCTTATCTATCCAATCCACTCCGTATATTTGCTATCATATCAGGATCTTCGAGTGAGGGGAAATTGCATCACCGTGTCGAAATAGCTTGATAAGAGCAGGTGACCGAATGACTCGTCGAAAATTCGGCCCGATTATTTCATCAGCCGCATCCAGGACTTCAACCCGTAGGTCACCATAAAAATTGCCCGCTTCGGGTTAGACACCTTTCGTATCCAATTTCAGCCACAGTTCATGGACTGACCTTGTTGCGAGTAGGGCCACAATCACATAGCATGATTACCTCGTATTTATAACGGAAAGGGGCACATTGTATCCTAATAATATTTGATGGGCATTATTCACCAGAGCAATATTCCTGAAGCCCCTCCAAGTTTCTACGTTCTCGATACTACGACCCGTGAGGCTAAGCATCGGCTACTGTTCTTGCCATGACCCCTTGGCAAGTCGACGGGTCTTTGATATCCGGCTCAAGGACGACCCTACACATCATAACACTTCGGATCGATCCCCAATGCATGAAAAGGGTTTAATCGACAGATCCTCCGGGGAGCAGCGTCATCTAAGTTCACTATCATAGAGAGACCATCCTCACGGCACATTAGCCTTAAGAATTCAGAGTCTGTTGGGGACTCGGCGTGTCCGTCTTGGACCCACTAGTGTTAGCCCACAACCCTAAAATGGTTTAGCTACGGTGCCATTTAATTATTCTGGGCCTTTCGAGCCACGCTAGAATCCGACGGTTAGAATCCGGTCAACTACTTATGCTGGAAATTCTGCATAATATTGGATGGAGAACGATGGGTCGTTGCTTATACTTTATGCTGACCCAAGAACAACCTAGAGTCTTGGATGGAGATCGTCTATCTGTCCCTGTTGTGTATGGCATGACAGGTCGATCAGCGCAACAAGCTGTCTTAACTCAGTCTATATTCGCTGCTTTCGAACTGCAACAAGTTTATATTCGTGTTCCCACTTCTTGCCGCCTTGCCACCAAGGCAACAATCCATAACCCAACCTAATAGCGGCGGCGCTGCAATGATTCATTATTAGCTGCCTTTGCAGTGTCATTGGCAGCTAGTGGTTACTCGGTAGTTGCCTACAGTTTACCTAGTAAAAAGAGGAAGCGTGTGGTTGCTGCATCTAGATCTCATATCGCAAGGTTATATATCCACAAACTTAGAACCCCCCGTCAAGATCCTATACTTGACCTATCATAGAATTTTAGCGATACATAATATATTCATATTATTGTATCATTTTTTAATACTCATTTATACACTCGCTTTTTTCCCCTCCATATTCATAAATCACACAGCCCTGGTGAAGTTAACCCCTACAGCATCGCCAACCACCAGACCCTCAAACCACATCTACATACATACGAGTCACAACCAATCCACTCATTGCACACTCTAACAAAACCCTTAGAACCAAAATTTAGACAACCGAAGGAGCAGTTGAATGTTCCACCAATCCAACAATGACCCAGTTGACAATCAAACCCCAACCAGGTCCCTTCAGTAGACAACCAACAAGCAAGATAAGAAACCAAAAAAAAAACCTCGGCAAATTCCCAACTCACAACAGAGGTGCCCCCTCTAATCAAAGAAATCCACTCCATCTTACAAATCCATATCGTAATTGATAACTGACCAATCTAACTAGAATCCCACTAGTTACCCTTCCGCCGATAGACTGTTTCATATCTCGTTTCGCTGTCCGACCGAGGCACGGGACTTGCCCGTAAGAACTTTGTGAACTAGCACTTTAAGGGGTTCCGGGTTCGGAATGCCGGTCGCTGTGGAGGATGTCGACAGAATATGTATTATGTACAAGAATGTTCATTAAAATTAGGAAATGTCAGAGCATGCTGGAGATAATGTGATATCACTATATAACGAGTGAGCTCTTGAATTATTATATCTTATTTTTTTTAACGTATTAGTTGTCGGTTTTGAATGACTTGTTACGCAAGTGCGGTTGCTCCATAGGCGATCAATTTATTACTTATACCCCTCCATATCTGTTAGATACAGGGGTTAAAAAGGTATCGATATATAAGATATGGTTACTTATATTCTATATATATATTCTTAAGAGATATTCTAGAAAGCTAACAGCTATCTATAAACTCTTCTTATTCTACTCTAAGATCGCGGTATTCTGAAAAAATCTAAATTATAAACCTATTTCCAGCGATTACTTAACTCTTCAAAGAATATATAATTGCAAATAATTCTCTCAAAGACAAGGCTAGCCCAGGGCTAAGAAGTGAAAAAAACTGCACAGATATTTCAAATATCTGGTAGACTTAGTAGAAGTAGAACTTTTCTTGGCGGTATACCGAACGGTCTGTGAACAGTACACGCTCAACAGATCGCGACTGCGAGCGCGTTGCTGAAGGCGCGCCCCCGCGACAATAACCATACTTCCTACTAAAGGAACAGCGCAAAGTCACGACGGTAATGAATTGGATTATTCGTCATAGAATCTGCATTTCGAATCTATGCCATCCGGTGGCGATTCATGGAGAATACCACTTGGTCAAGTAAAATTTCTTAATGTACATGCTCGGATGCATCCCATGAGATCCAATCCACTCAGCCGCGTCGTCGGCAGCCTACTATTTATTGCGCAGCAAAACGAAAACTAATCCCAGTGCCGAAACCCATTGATATTCGCAAATGAAAAAAACAGAACCCATCATGTATCGCCAGTCGTGAAAAAGAAATAAAACCCCTAATCGCCTACCCAGAGACAACCAGAAAAACCGGACTCATTAGAGAGAAATCTAAGAGCGCTCACCACGGAGACGGCGGGCGAGCTGGATGTCCTTGGACTGGATGGTGACACGCTTGGCGTGGATGGCGCAAAGGTTGGTGTCCTCGAAGAGGGAGACGAGGTAGGCCTCAACGGACTCCTGAAGAGCACCGATGGCGGAGGACTGGAAGCGAAGGTCGGACTTGAAATCCTGAGCGATTTCACGGACCAGACGCTGGAAGGGGAGCTTCCGGATCAGGAGCTCGGTAGACTTCTGGTAGCGACGGATTTCACGGAGAGCGACGGTACCTTTTCATGACTGTTAGTGATGATACGATATAGTGGTTTGCCACAGGAGATAACTTACCAGGCTTGTAACGGTGAGGCTTCTTGACACCTCCGGTAGAGGGAGCAGCCTTACGGGCGGCCTTGGAGGCGAGCTGCTTACGAGGGGCCTTGCCACCAGTGGACTTACCTGGATAGGTGTTAGGGATGATGATTCAAGACGCGATGTATCACTCATGAGTGACGCGACCCTGACGCGGGTTGACGGCACCACAAGAGAAAGGACAGTGAGGTTAAGACTTACGGGCAGTCTGCTTAGTTCTGGCCATCTTTATGGATAAGGTTTGATGGATTTAGTCGACTTTGAGATGAAAATAGATAAAAGTCGATGGTTGTCGATGATAATGTGTTGGCGGATGAGGAGATGAAAGAAGGATGGAGGAGGCGGGTGGGGGGAGGTATTTGTAGTAAGCGAAGGGCGGGTGGTGATCTGATGGCGTTGGCAGCAATTTGGGTGGCCTTAGCGTCCTTTCCCTTTGATCAAAAAAGCGCTCGGAAAGCAGCACACCATAAGCCGTGATTTCGGGGGTCACTTTTGGCTGCAGAATCAAAGGGTTACCTTGCGGGCGGTCAGAGAATCCGCGCCCAAGGCAGGAATGAAGGGTGGTCAGTGCGTTAAGCGAGTGACGGACCAATAGAATCGTAGGATCACAGATCTAGCATGTCCCCCTGCCACGTCTTGATCCCAACCACCGGTAAGGTATGTGAGGCAATTCAGTAGATCAGAATGATAGTTTGTATGCTCAGGAATGTCTCTGATCTTTTCTGATCCCTGATCTCGGTCGTTGGGAGGCATTCCGTGAGGATCAAAGTTGATCGTAGCGGAATCATTACTTCTCGGTCACGTTGCCGACAGATCAAACCCGCCGGGAGGATCCTCGCTTCTGATTGGTCGATCCTCTTGTTAGCGCGTGATTCCAACGCCCTCCCCGCGCTCTTCCCTTTCCTATACAAATATCACTCGTCCCATGGCAGCTGTCCCAATCTTTCCCTTCCCATCTCTCTCCCATCTGTCATCCAATTAACAGCCTATCTCTCCACATTTCCTCACTCAACCTTAAAAACAAGTTAACTCTTTAATCAATCATCAATATGTCTGGCCGTAAGTCTTTCCCCTGCAGTGAACATCAAAGACGCGATCAGGATCGATGATTAACGCGTTTCTCTACAATAGGTGGAAAGGGTGGAAAGGGTCTCGGAAAGGGTGGCGCCAAGCGTCACCGCAAGATCTTGCGTGACAACATCCAGGGTATCACCAAGCCTGCTATCCGTCGTCTCGCTCGTCGTGGTGGTGTCAAGCGTATCTCTGCCATGATCTACGAGGAGACCCGTGGTGTCCTCAAGACCTTCCTTGAGGGTGTCATCCGTGACGCTGTCACCTACACTGAGCACGCCAAGCGTAAGACCGTCACTTCTCTCGACGTCGTCTACGCCCTCAAGCGTCAAGGACGTAAGTTACCGCTACTGTTCATCCTCTCCTATCAACGCGTTTCTAATATGCCAATCAGGTACCCTCTACGGTTTCGGTGGTTAAATGCTTTCTTTTCTCGCCTTTTGTTTTCAGCCATCCTGCGCGGTCGGCGCGTCGGTTGTCCTTCCGCAGCAGTGACGCGACGGGTTGCTTTTTCGGGTTGGTTTACGGTATGACTGGGACGTTGGGGTGTTATTGATCTTTTACCATGGGTCTCTGGGTTTGCTTTTAACGTATTTTACTTTACTATTGCGCGTCCACTACTGGGTCTGCTAGTGTTCGTGATTGAAATTTTCTGTATCATAGCGGCCTTCATGCTATCGGCTGGTACCTCTAGAACCATCGCGTCATGAAAATGCGCGGTCTGGTATGAATACGAACGCTTGAAAAAAAAGATGGAAAAAAAATCTCGTGCTCGGTTCGGTGTGTCTGCGTAGCTGCCCGTCAATTCTTTGTTTTTGTTGTGAGTTGTCGCGTGTCCGCCGTACGTGTCGGTAGTGTGGGCGGTATTGAAGCTATGGTACTAGTACATGTGTCTTCGTGCTTCCTGTATCCAGCAGTTTGTATAATATCTAGTTCATAATAATTGCTTTCTTTGTAACTTGGGTATTGCATTCTGTTGTATCTGCATGTAGCTTGTTCTGTAGCTTGTATTTGGTCCCTTTACCGTTCTGGGAAATGATGGGATCTAATGATGCGGTTGTACTTGGGTCTTCATCACGCCCAGTGCGACTTCGGTAAGACTCCCCAGTGTATGCGAGGTATACAGTGATTTCGTGCTCATGAGGTCTGCTCTGGTGACATATTCGATGCGATTCAGCTGCGTAGGTGCGTGGATTATTGGTTGGGTATGTATATGTTGTTGGTGTATGGTATGGAGGTATATACAAGTAGGTATATATATCTTTATGTATAACACCCAATATACTTACGATCAAAATCCACACCAACCAGCAGCCAGAGAGAATGAATGGGCAAAAAACCTATGGAGCATTATAAGCGGTGGTAAATTATCATACGGAGTCTTTATTTTACCCCAAACGCACGACATATGCCTAAGATCAGTGAAATCCTGCATTGAGACTGACGTTCGTCAAAGAGTTCGACATAGCTCGGGTCGAGTTGAACCCGGGCAAAGGTTGAACCCCGGTCGGTGGCCGAAGTGACCCCTGGACACTAAACCATTTCGGGGATAATGGATCGCGGTCCACGGTCGCGGGTCAACTACATCACTATAGCCAGTGCACCTCCAAACCACTTCTCAAATTAACTACATTGTTTAACACAAACACGCCACCCGATTGACCAAGAGGCCTGATCTGAATAAACATGAGCCATGTCCAGTCTAAGTGACCTACCTTCTCATTCGATGCCCAACACCGATTCTCGCCGTGGAACACTTCACCGTACCGTGATCACACAAACACAACGCGAGAATACACGGCTCCCACCCCAGCAATGTACACGTGACGATGTAAAAGCGCGTTGGACTACTCTGATTCCTACGAGTGTACATAAACCGAGATATCGATGTGCTGGGAGGCGAAGGTGCAAGCCTATAATACTATGACCGCCAGATTGACAAGGAGCCGCCTGGTGGTCGTGTCTGGCTTCTTCCGCTTAAGTATAATACGGTCGAGTTGACTGTCTCCATCACCTTCCATTTATTTAATTTATTTTTTTTTTTTACTTAAACGGCGGGCTGGAGCTATACATTGTTTTGTGAAATGCAGTATGCACAGTCAGTGACAACCCGGGTAACTGATATAGCTCGATATGTAACTGTCTTACTATCTCTGTTGGTGACCCACGACGTACCCCGAAGGCTACCCACACCCAGATGCTGTCGTCCTGCACTCAGTGGCCCGCGCAAGCTCCTCAACGCACCCTTCCCTCTGTATCGCATCAAGTATGCTCTGGAACTTAGGTTGAGGTCTCCCCTCAAGATATTCACCACACCTCACTGGAATTCCCGATGCTCCTTCATCACAACAGAGGACTCCTCTACAAGTTCTGCAGAACATCGGTGGACCAACCAATATCAAAGCAACGACTCTACACACTACACATCAATCCCCTATACATCTAGTTCCAGCACCTCATCCAGTACGCCCACAACACCACAAATCACCCACACTAGGTATAATACCTTCCTACCCAACAGACCGCAGAGAATCTGCCCTCACGTGTGGAACAACATCAAAGTATGAACCCGAAACTACCCATGGACTGTACGTCGAGGCACTTCGTCCTACATAGGCACTGACAACCTTGCGTTGCTCATCCCATCAAGTCAACGCGGCAAGCGCCGCGCCACTCACCCTGTACTGGTACGCATCCGGCTCTCCCACCCGACATAGAGCAACACGTATCAACCGCAAAGGGCCTGTAATACTAATACGGGTGCTATCGCTGGAGTTCACTAAGCTATGACTCTAAGCATTCATGCCCATAGAGCTAGGTCAGCCAATAAACGTGGCCTGGAGCATGAGAGAATCAAGCTAAGCACAGGAAGAAAAACACGAGTATAGAGAAATGAAAGTAACGGGAACAAGAGAACCAACGATGTAACTTCTGATTACTGAACAGCTTAACTCGTGCAAATGGGTCTGGATATCCTGAATGCCGCCGGAGTGCTACGTTCTTGACTCTCAGCGGCGAGTAGCTTGGGTAATCCTGCCCTCCAACATCACATATGTCTGCCCCGTCAAGGCTGATATGTGTAACGCATAACGCATAGGTCCACATGTAGTGGGACTGCCCTGGCACTCAAGTGTACTCTAAAGATGGAGGTGTAGTCATTGGTCATTCTAACTAGACGCTAATGTCGGTACCGCCACCCGAAGCCACTAGGTCTGTGTGAAAGGATTCCTGCAAGTCCATAGCACATCCTGGCGAGCCTGACCAGAATCGACATGGAGGCATAAGAAAAGAAATGGGTGGTTGCCTTGGTAGGTTCGCCGATGAGTGGCATTGAGCAGGCCACAAAGGCCTCTTCCACCTCCCCATGGAAGGGGAGGAAGGAATGCAGCGTGTTCCTTTCTATGGCGCAGCGCGACTTATGAGGACGCTGCCATGGCTCTCAAAGATATACAGAGAGCTAGGAAAAGGTCGGTTGCCGCTCTGGTGAAGGGAAGAGAAGTTGCTTTCTACATTATGCAAGTCGAGAATCTGCGCAAGTGTGACGGGATGTCCGAGGCTCATCAAGCACAGGCAGAGTTTTGTCAATCATCCATTCCTGGAACGGGTCCTCGAGTGTGTCCCGTTGTCTCTCACACAATCCAACACAATCCCCGACATTGCTACAGCAGAACGTCTGGAAATGGGGTTGGACCCTGCGCCCATTCGTCGCGAAACCCAGACTTACCTAGGACAGACAACATCGGGAGAAAACCTCGTAGTTACGATGTATATACATATGAGCCAGTTGGGTTGCTCAATGGAAATAGGAGTAGGCATGCCATAATGCTGTGAGGTCTTGTATCCAGACCCCGGGTCACTGCGTGAAATCGATCCGTTGATCTAGAACCAGCGACAGAGGAAGCTGTTTCCCAGTTGAAGTCCTAAGGGAGTTAAGTCTCTACCAAATGTTGGAAAGACCATATACCCAATCGGCTCTGTGATCAGCGAGCTTGACGAAGTAGGCCCGCTTCGGCTACATGATGTCGTTTTACGACCTTTGTAACTACTACAGCCATAGTCAAGTCATGCAGCGACCGCATGCATGATCTCCCCAGTCACAGCGAGCCTTTCGTAAAGCCTTTGGTCGACTTAGCATATTAGCCTACTTTTTTCATGATTGGCATGGAGGCTGTTCTTACGTCCTTTACCAACATCGCAGGCTAGTCGCCCGGAGAAGTAAACGTTCTTTCATTATGGCCGAATGGGAACAAGCTGTCCGATGCTCTTCGCCGTCGATTACCATGGATTGAGTACTGAAGTCGGATCCATACGATTGGGTTGGCTGATGGTTGTAGTTGAGATGTGTGATGGGTTTGTTAAATAGCAGGTCTCTAAAACCAAAGCATTTAGAATTGAGGGTAGTAGAGTCAATACGGTTAGACTTCAATGCTACGAGTGCAACTACCAGGCAGTGCAGATCAACCTCAGTGATGAAGCGACAAATAGACGGCGAGGGTGTTGCTTCTTGGATCTGACACTGGAAGATATCTTAACAATGTGTGTCTAATGATACCGTGATGACTACAAACGCCATGTGTGGTTGCAAGTACATGCAGATAAAGTCTACATGAACGGCTGTATGCTTGACAGCAGATTTCGATGTACTTGGTTTCGTCCATCAGATCGACCGAGAAGAAGTTCTTCCTCTGTTACCACCAGGACAATGCATATGCTAGCACTTCTCGGAGATTGCTACGAGACAAACTCATGTTTGACGGAAGGGAGTCTCATAGCATTCAAGCTCGTATCTAGTTCATGACATAGAGGGAGCCATAGATTGATCAATTGCACTACCAATGCCTTGGTGCAAGCAAATGTGATAGGCGAAGCTACCGTAACTGACTGGCAGTATCCTGTAAAGATCGCCTCTTTTCGTTGGTCTACATAAAATCATCCGCTTTGCTATGTCGCAGAGTCTGCTTAGTCTGCTCATCCATAGACAATATGAGATCCCTATATTAGTATCGTATATGAGCTATTCAAAGCTTCTGTATATCTATCTTCGTATATCTCCTGTCAATTGACAGTTGGGGTGCTCTGGGATGGAATGAGGAACATGCCTTCCATCCTATCTTACGTAAATCAGGCTACTTTCAGCCCCACTGGGTTTTGAGAGCAATGGCCCATATTTTCCAGGCTCACTTGTCCAGCAAGATTCTTCAAAGATAAGGAAAGAAAGTGATCCATAGGTAGTAGTGATCTTGTAATAGTACCGATCCATTAGTTGCTATTGTCTGGCCAACAGCAGCCCGCCGAAACGTCACGGCTATGAATCAATTTATTTCCTTATCTCCAGACAAATCAATGGCTCGAGAACCCTTATCTTATTGAGATTGATCTGATAAAGCGGAAGCCCACCCGTCGGATAGAGATAGCATTTCTATTCTCACACTGACGTCAAAGGCGACTTTCCCTCCCTGCAGCTGTATCAGCGAGGCCTCCACCCAGCAAGGTGTCAACCTGGATATCAGTATCCAAGCCCTTGTGAGTGTGAGTACCTATTCAGCCGAGTATCTTCAGGGGGTGAAGATAGCTCTGAGCGTATGAAATGCTCATTCTTCTCTCGACCGTGGTTCAATAGACGTCCATATGCTTCGTATTCTTCATCTCAAAGCCGGGATTGGTTGATAAAAACATACAGGTCACACGATACATGTATCTACCCACTAGCCATGGCTCTGATCATGAGTCAGTAAGCTCTAGTAGGCCATTTGAGCCGCGGAAGTGTGTTGCTAATAGGCTCGTCTGTATGGAAGTTAGTCGCCACGCTCAGGCTTCTCTCAACGAGTCATAGCATCTTACAGGTTGATCTTCTACCGAGCTAGCATGGTCCTATGGCTCTCCAAATTAGCAGATGTGTATAGGGTGCAACGCCACCTCGGCTAATTGTGATTCTCTTTTTCAGCTTCCTCCGTTTTGCCGCTCTTGGTGCCTATATCTCTTTCTTCTTCTCTCCACCCTTTTTCCTTTTTCGTCCTTCCCAATTTTGTTCAGCGCTCGTGGCGAAGGAGACCAGTACTACGGGAATCTGGCATTTAGGCAGCCGCACCGACTCAGGCGTACGACGGACAGTCCGGTGAGCAGAGCAAAGCCTGGCCCATACTCGAACAACCAGAGATAAGCCGAGGTTCAGTCCCGCCGGTGACTCAACGCGGACTGTAATACCAAGATGGAGTCTGATTCAGATCATCTAGTCCATACAGTAATTACCCAACCGTACTAGTATAGCCATGAAAGCCGGATCCGAATAATCCAAGGACGATGTCGATAACAACATCCATCGTTGGTGGTTGTCATCCAGACGTATGTGCTGCTAATAATAGAAGCGGACGGAAAAACAATGTTTCACATGACACGAGTGCGTGATCAATGTTTCGAGCACATAGAAAAATCAAGGATGATGGATACTGTCTAGAACATCGAGATCGCTTAGTTTCTTGACGATCCGAAATCAGAAAAATCCATTCGATGAAATGAGTCGTTAGCTGATTAGTATTGATGGGATGATAAGAGGGGTGTGGGTGGTGTCGTGTGGGTGGTCGTTGGTTCGGTCGCAATCCAGACCGTGGAGGGGCTGTGTTAGCCTGTTTGCAGGTGGTCCAGAACGTCCATGCTTTCTCCTTCTCGACTGGGAAGGTGGAATGGGATCCCTTACTAACAACTAGTACTTACTTGAACTTGAATCTGCAAGGCATGCATGATGGAAAGAATGTTCTATTCTGCAAGGGATGAAAATATTGGATAATAGGAAATGTTCTGGAAGTGTCGATCTTGAGGCATGCATGTGACCTGTTACAGTGATGAATCACAGAGCTCGATCGAGAGATATTGACTTGGGTTAATTCTCATGGTGTCTGCTACTACTAGGTACCGCTTTGGAAGACAATTTTTTTTCTTCCCCTACGATGTTGTTGGCGCTACAGACTACACATGTATGGTTGAAGAATTACTTCAATGCTAAAAATGAAATTTTTTTTCTTGGTGTTCGTGTTGAAAAATGTTTAGCCGCATACTACATAAGACAAAAAATTCTCTGGACATACTAAATCTAAGACAAAAATGCATCTGAACTTCTCCATACACGAATCAGCAGAAAAGTATATTCAGCTTCACCCACATGGTTGACAGAGTCGTGTTCCGCATAACGGCCGGAAATGTTTTTCCTCGGGCAGAGTTTTTTTCGGACATACCCCGTAGCGAAGGGACGCTAATCAATCTGTCAATGTAACCGTACTAAAATTTTCGTCAACTAGGCTCGAATCGGGCCTACTAGATCTCGGCATGACCAGAGTCCAGTATAAAGTAGGGCACTCGGCTGTGCTGACCCGTGGTGCCGTGTTACCGAGAGATCTGATCGACCGGGCCGAATGGAGTGACCCAGTGACTTCTCTCCCTACCGTCCCCATGCATTTGGAACCTCTAAGCAGACGGTGCTCTAGATATGCTGAATAATTGTTTTCTCAAGTCGGAAAAATCTCGGTTTGTAGAATGCCGTATATTAAAGCTGCAGAAAATATATTGGCCAGTAGGTGTTAGTTCCGACCGGTGAGTCGGTTAGGAGATAGTAGGAAAAAATTCCCTAGGTTACACTACGCAGGTCAACCGTTGCATTGACAGAATTTTCACAGCTGCGCAAGCGTTTTAGCTGTCGTCAACGTGGCCGATCTAACGGCTGATAGGCTCCCTTGGTCTGTTCGTTGCTACGACCAAAGTAGAAGGCTCAACGAAGGCACGCGGCAGCCAGCGACCAACTTGTGTGGTCAACCACACCCGCCCAACCCATCATAATGACTTAAGTGGACATATGCACTGAGTGCAAATTGGTATGAAAGCCGATGAAGGGTGAAAAATTTTTCATTAAGTTCCACATAAATTCCCAAAGAGGATAGAGTCAGATAGTCTGCATAATTGATAGGCAGGGATCAGACATATCTCGGATTCCCAACGAGCGATTTTTGCGCACAGACAGCAGATTGACAAATCCATGCCCAAATTTAGAAGGCTTCCAGAAATCCAATGGAAAACTCTAATCGCGCTTGTGCCGCCGATTGCCAAGCCCCATGGGATTCTGAATCTGCAGCCACGTATCAACTGCATGAGGCTTGCATTTTGGTATGACATCCCTGTGTATTGGTTATTCCGCTCGGTTCTATACGCCCATTACCACGTAATTTTACCCACTTGGACCCACATGATGTGCACCGGGGGAGCTCCTGATTTGTGCTTTCGTTTCGGAATTACTACCACTCGTTCCACCAAACCATTTGGTTCACCCTTGCTGATACCCCAACGGACGCCCCACCTGTAGGGTGAGTTCGCTTCAACGGGAAGTGGCTGTGCTTTGAGTACCTCCAGCCATTTGGAAATCAGGCGACCAATCCCCCTGCCGGATCTCTGCCACATGAGACGCTAGAAGAAAAAATTTTCTTCCATGCATATTCCACGCATCCGATCTGGGTTCTGGCATGTACGGAGGAGGACAGAGTTGCTCCCCGTGAGATTAGCAGCCCCCATGAGGGTGGTTAAGGTGCTGACTAGTTTGGTTAATACCCCTGCTAGATTATTGCTTCTGCAGGATCAACACCAATAGAATGTCTGTCTTTGAGTTTCAATTTACTTTTCTTTTTCTTTTTTCTCATCACGGCAATGGATATTCTCAATATACCGTGTTTTGGACTTCGCTTAGCCGGGCTGCTTCTTTGTTTCCCCCCCCTTTTTAATTTAAAAATTTTTTGTGAAAATTGTCTGCGACCATTTCAGATCGCCTAGATTGGAGTCATGATGTGATAAATATCCAGGTTTGAGGAAAGGCCCCATATGCCAACCCCATCTTCGTACCGAGAACCCAAACAGTAGTGGGGCCTTCCGTGTTGCCATCATTGTATATGCCGCATAGGGCTGCTGTGGCAGGTCAAGTCATTCGCACGGGGAAACGTCAAAACATTGGAAAATTGGTCTGAACACCATGGGGCTATCCAGACAGACCCGCCGGCTGGTACCCGTAATTTGACTACCTTCCGAGCCCCAGACTTAGCAATGCTACGCGAAATCTAACCTCACCACGTATGCAATCGTCCTAGGAGATATCCAAAGCCCCAATTCCCTTGCCCCGAGCAATAGCGACATCGGTCTTCAGCTCCGGTAGGCAACAACCATGGCCAAAGCTGAGACAACCTTCCGGCAAGTTAAGTCTGAGATAAAGACTTTGTGCTTGTGCGTAGATCGTTTGCCACGCGTTTCAGCTGTCGTCTTACGATGGGTATTTTGTGGGCCTGCCAACGGATCCGGGGATTGGGTCGCTGGGTAGGAGATTTTGGCTTTTTTGAGTATGGCGTGTAGCTCTTGATTCAACCTCAATGCGAGATATACGAATCATCTACTCTCCTTGGATTGATTACGTTCTCTGGCGAGTTGGTACTTTTTTGTTCCCCACGGCTGTTCAGCACCCTCTGAATGCTGGTAGCCTGAGTTGTGTCCTTGGTTGTATCGACGGGAGCTTATTCCTAACCGAGTCTAGTTGTCTCTGTAGTGATTCATGACTTTCTGTGCTCGGGCATGGTCCGTAGGATTCGGGGATCTCTTGCTCCCCGATGATCGATACCTGGGGAATGCACGTCGGAGTTGATGTATCAAATTTTCCCACGTGAAATTGTCTTCTACTACTTGCAGTTCAAGAATTTTAATCTTATTTTTGAATAAAGTTATTTTATTTTATTTTATTTTATTTATTTTTTTCTGATAAACTCGGCTTTCCTTTTTGAAACTAGCGTCACCAGCCTTGGATAGCCTACAATAGCCGTGACTCAAATCAGGTAACCATTCAACCATGTGCTATGGGCTTGACCTGTCATGCCATGAAGATGCGTCAGCTGACCAGGTAAAGAAAGCATGCAGTCAACGTTGCATGTCAAAAGTTGTTGGTTGTTGTCTAACCTTTTTTTTTTTCCCCCTTCGCCGGCCGAGAAAGTCGAGACTGGCTGTCGGATCAGTGGATGCCGACAAATCACGCTACTGGGGTTGTTAGTTTCGATCTGAACCAGGGAACCGGGGTCCTAGCACCAGACGAAAGCTCCGAAACATCCCCGACATGAACATGACTTATGCAGGACCCCGGGGGAAGATTTGTCAAAATTAATCTGACAATGTTGGCGGAAACCGATAGTACATGCCAGAAGCGCCGACTCGGGAGGTCACGTAGGGGCTACGCCGGACAACTCCGACACTTTCATCACAGCCCGGAGCAAGTCACTAAACCCAAACAGGTAATTTCCACTTAATCAGATATGACAAATGAACATATACGGTTAGCGCCAATGCACTAGCCACTTGAAGTGGCAGTGCATGTGGCTGGTGGAGTACTCGTACAGGACGAACTGCAGACGGAGATCTTCACAAAAGGGGGCCCTCCTGGTGGAGTTATCCACTGGGGAAAGCCACGACATCACCCAGTACTATTACATGATTCCTATCGTTGTATGCAGGCGGTTGAACATGTCACCTGTAAGGGACCCTGGGATGTCGTGGCCCCATCAGCACCTTGAGACACGAGATCTATCTCCCCATGACAGTGGCTCAGCTCCCATGTAATCGTCCCGATGATTGGCTGCCCTAAGCCCCTAGTGTGAATGAAAAATTCATTTTAGCGCGGGTTGGGTAGGTATCGCTGTACTATATCGGGATCAGCCATACCCTTTAATGCTGAAGACCGTGTGGATGGGGGGACCCGCCAATCATTGGAGATATTATTGAATATTTTGATGTTAGGTATCGTGGATGATTCATGATGACTTAGGAGTTTAGCAACGGTCTATACTATGTTGATTTAGTATTTGTAATAATAATAGAATCCGCTAGATATGAGTAGTTTTATTCTTTATTGTTAATGAAAAATATATCAATAAGCAGTTTCTAACCGAAGCGGATTTAATTGCATATACTCCGGACACGGAGGTAAAGTGAGTTGTGGCTGATGTCGACGAAAGGAATGATGCATAAAACTATGTATGGAGCAAGGGAGGGAAAATAGAAAAACAAAAAAAAAAAAATTAAAGCGAAAAAAAAGGAAGGAAAAAAAAAGTTGCATTACTATTGAGACAGGGATTGTGGCTTGTACCCTGAACAATGGGATCTCGTAGTGATATTTCCCGTTACGTTTCGTAGGGTTTGATTGACAGTAAGTTGGTCGGAGCCGGGCGGGGGGGTTGGACGACGACCGAATAAGCGAGCGACATTTGCTTTGCTTTTTTTGTTGAGCCAGTGAATTTATTTTTTTACAGCCGAGGGAAATTCGACCCCAGATGGATAATGCAGATCTAAGGCTCTAAGGCCCTTTTTTTGAGTTTTTTTTTTTTTTTTTTTTTTTTTTTTTTTTTTTTTTTTTTTTTTTTTTTTTTTTTTTTTTTTTTTTTTTAGTATTCTTCTTTTTGACACTAATAAAATAGATGGGTAAATATTACTGGATCGCGGAAAGTCCGGTGTAAGTATGGAGTACGGAAAAGATTTCTAAAAATCGAGGCGGTAATCTTACGATACTAGTTCATTGACCGGGTTGAGTCATGATCGCCCGGGGAGGGATGCAGTTGTGGGTGGGTAAGTTATGGTAATGCTCGTTCGGTCATAGCCGGTACTAATGGGTCATGGACTTAGCGTCAGTTTCCCTTTGGTACGTACTCTGCAGGTCAAACGTCATTAGTAGTATCATCATAAAAGAGGCGCATCCCCCAAACCAAATTGACCTCTTCCCCTTCTACTCATTATCAACAAATCAACTTATTATTCTCCTTGAAACTTGTCACAGTTTACTGATCGATTGATCTTATCAAGCCCCAATCTTTCATATTCCTCAATTGTATTTTTCTCTCACCTCCATCCACTACTTGCACATTCGTTGTTCC